TATATATATATATATATATATATATATATATGAATGTACATATGGATCTTAAAAAATGGTAAAAAAAAACCATTAGACACATTATGTTTTTTTTATATATAACAAAATTTGTATGAAAATATGTGACAATAAAATCTTGTAAATGTTTTAATTAATGTTAAAAGGTTTAACTGCACTTTGTGCCTTCGAACTTTTACTTTATGACAAATTTTTGTCTCAATTTTTTTCTCACAAATAATGTCCAAACTTTTAAATTTTGACAATTTTTGTCCATATTTCAGTTATTAGTCAAAATACAATGTTAAGTCGAACGTCTAATATAGATAAACTTGATGACTTCGCATGTCTATGAGAAACTTGATTGCATTTTGTGCCTCCAAACTTTTGATTTTTGGTGAATTTTGCCCCCAAGTAATTTTTCTTACAATTTATACCTCAAACTTTTAAATTTTGGTGATTTATATCCTCTCATTAATTTCCGTCACAATACTAATGGAATATTCATCATAAAATGTCTTTGTAAGACTTTTATGGTTAATTATTTAAGATACTTGTAGAAAAGGATTAGATGTAAATTAAATTTAATCTAATGTCATGTAAATGATGATTTGACTTAATATAATTGTATCATTTTTTTAGAATTATATTTAAGCATATATCCAACTACCTAATCATCAATTTTTACATTTATGAAAATGGGTAGTGTTAGTGTAAGTTTAACTTAAATATATTTTTACACTTAAAAAAAGTGTTAAATCGTATGTATATACTCCATAATTTTGTAATTACAGGTTTCGTGATTGGAATGAGTATACTAATCCACTAGTATCACCATAATATACTTACATTAGTATTTTCAAAACAATTGACAACACAGCTAAATTGATCAAATCTAATTTTGAGAGCATATATCGCAAAAAAAAAATAACTTGAAGTTAAAATTTCTCAAAAAAAAAACATTTAAATGGATAAAAAGTTAGTAAGATCGTATATAGAAATAAACAAAGAGGATTGTACTTTGGGAATTGAAGTAGTTGAGAAAAATAGATTAAAAAAACACACTTGAAGGAACAAACAATAGATATAATATCTAATTGAGAGTGAAAAAACTGAGAAAACTCTTCAAGTTATGTATTCCGTTTTATAATAAACAAATATTTTAAATATATTTTTAGTCTCTTAAATTTAAGATAAATTTATTTTTAATTTCTTAAATTTAAAATTAACCTTTTTAACTTCTATAATTTAAAAAAAATTTAATTTTTATACTCAAATTTTTTTTAAAAAAACCTATAAAATAATATCATATAAAATCTACCTAATAATATTATTATAAGTAAAATCAACACATAACCATATCGAATTATTACTTTCAAATATTTTATTAATAATTTGAAAGACAAATAAAATATTTAAAAGTTACAAGGATTAAGTAATTTTAAATTAGAGAAATCAAAAATAAATTTCCCTTTAAACTTAATGAAATATAACTTTTGTGATAAAATACACATTATTAATTTTTTTAAAATAAAAACCTCAAAAATATACACTTAATCATAATTGTATATTACATTTTATTAAGCTACACTTAGATTACCACACTTGATACACATCAATATCATGAAAAATTGCCCTAACCATTCCTAAAGCACACCTTCTCCCCTAGTCTTTAAGTGAACACTAATCTCTTTTCATTATTTATAAAAGTGGCACATATAACCCCTTATATATGACACAATTGAACACAATTAAAATATAAATTATTAATGCAAATACAAATAATAGAATGAAAATTAATCTCTTTTTTTAATTTTAACTCCCAAATTATATTCTAAATATATATCAACTTCAACAAACAATTTCAAAAAAAATGAGTTAAGTTATTATTTTCAAAATTGAAGAACAATAAAAAAATTCATAAAGAAAATAAAAAAATTATACATAATTCAAAAATTAAAGATAGACAAATACATGATTGACAAAACATGAGAAGATAAATAAGTGATTTGTAAAAACTAGAAAAGAGATATGTGTCGTTTAAGTATCAGAGCAAGTGAGTGCAACTTCTCATTTTATATTGTTTTATTTAAAATTTAATACAATATAACCCATCAAAATTATAAGATACCAACCACCTTCATACTTTAGTTTTAAGTGAATAAAACTCACTCGAAAAACTACCACCAATGAATAAAAGCGGGATTCTGACAGCATATTTGCTTACAAAATTAGAGTGCATTCCTTCAATAAGAGTATAGTAATGTTGATCTGTTTCCAAAAGTGTCCTCAGTATGCATTTTGAACAACAGCTAAAGCAATATCTCATGCAATTTTATACCTAAATCCTATTTCTTTCCATTTCACCCTTAGCTTCCATTTTTTTCACGGTATCCAATAAGCAATGCATTTTCGCTGCCATTCAAGAACAAAATACTGCAAAAAATCTTATAAAAAGGGGAATCATTTGGATGTTATAAGAAAATATATCAAATTCTACATTGATAAACCAGGACACAGTTTCCTAAAACTCCCTAAAGGAAATCCGGAATAAAAGCCAACTTAACAAGACCAGCATCCACCATATGTAATTCAGGAACAAATTCAAAGCTTATAAATAGAACCTATGCCTCGGTAGTAGGATACTCAAACACAACATCTTTGCCAGAAAATTTCCTGTATACTGCAGCAAAAGTCTCCAACTTGTACTCGGTGTTGTTTCGCTCCTTGGGGTCCAAAAAGACCTGTCAAGACAAACACAAGAATTCACTTAAAATAAAGACAAATCCTAACCATGGCCCCCTAAGGAAAAATAATTTCTGTCAAAGACACAACAAAATGTATATTATTTAGTGATTTAGAAACATTTAACAAGGTGTATTAAATGTTCCTCAACGAGTGCTCAGCCTGATGATTTCTTTCAAATTTTGAACAGATGGCTTTCTCACACAAGTTTAAGCATAGTATTAATTTCTAAGCATTACATGCATATGCTCATTAGCTTGGTTAAATAGAGATGTTTAATTCAGATCTCGGTAGTTGATTGAGCTAAATAAGAATTTCATAAGTTCTTTGGCTATATAATATTTACCTTCATAATCTTGGCACCATCAATTCTATATCTAACACGCTTTCCAACAATCTCAGCAGGCAATACAATATCCTCGAGCATTGCCTCATGCACAGCAGTGAGTGTCCGACTGCGGGGACGCTGAACGGCAGAACCTTTCTTTGGTGGCCTTAATATCCTACGGGTGGCAATCAGGACTACATCCTACAAGTTTAAGAGTAATTAAAATATAACAATATGAAGCACCACACTTCAAAACAATACATGAATTGTAGGAGCCTGGAATAGGGAAACAACACCCATAGCTAAAATTATTATGTCATCAATGTACTACATAGCGACTTGCTTAATTCATAAGCTTAATTAATGATTAAACCATTGTATAAAAAATAAAAGCAACTCAAGAGACCTTGGAGATTGCGAGATTGAAAAGAATAGAAAGTGAAAGAATATTGATAATAGATGCTAATAAGAATAATTTCCAATATGATAAGACTGTACACCTACCTTTCCACTAAATTTTTTCTCTAGTTCTCTCACAAGCCTGACATGAATCTTCCGAAATCCTTTCCTTAATCTGTAGGAAAAATGGATAACCACAGCCTTGCGGTTCCCAGCAACATCAATTTGGCTGTAGATCACAAAAATGATAGTCAAGAGACAACCAAAATCTCATTATCTTCACACAAGCGACCATTAAAACAAATTCTTACACTGCTGAATTTATGTATAAATCTTTCAAATCACTTTTCAGCTCATTGTTGGTATTTTCTAGATCAAACAATGCCTGCAACAACAAATTTTATTTCATCATTGCACTTGAAACTGACTAGCAGCTACAGCCTACAGCAACAGTTTTTAGAAACAAAATAAACCTGTCCAACTGATTCCTCAAATTCAGTTGGCTCAACATCCTTGTCTTTGTGGATTTTCTTCCTTGATGTGTACATCTTGACAACTGTAAACGAAGAATGAATTAGGTGAATGCCGTAGCTTATGTTTCAAAAATTAAAATAAAAGTTCAATATGCAAACATCTAACAGCAAGCACAGCCTAATCATCAAGTGAATTTTAATTGAAATAATATCACAAACACCACATTGATACTAAAGATAATCATGACCAGACCATCAATTCCTAGTTACATCTCCCATCATTTTCACCAACAAACTGTGATGATTACTGAACATATTCAGCATGAATAAGCCAAATATTCTCAGCATTGTCAAGATAACAACAACCCGAGCAATACAACAATCTTACATTCTTCTCATTAGAGTCATTTGCTGACAATAAAATTCAAATATTAGTTTGAAAGTTCAATTACATGCTTATCCCATTTGAACACTATATAATGGGGTCAAAGATGAAAACCCATTTATGAATAGAACAATGCTAAGAGAAATATAGAAAGAAAACATACTTACAAAACCTAACAGTGTGATTCAAAGAATACAACTAAAAAAAACAAAACCCTTTTTTCTAGAGCAAATTCCTCACAATCCCAACAAAAACAAAGCACAACCATCGATTGAAATTTCATTGCACAAATGAACAATTCCTCACGGAACCTAAAAATGAGAACTTTTGATCCGTTTTCCGTCGATTTTGGTTAAGAAGTTGCAGAGTACCTCAAATCCTAAAAGGGTGTCAGGATCTTACCTCACCCCGGGAAGATGAAAGCCGCCGAGAGCCGCTGCAAAAGAGTGGATCCTTGCTCTGTTTTCGCGGCAGTGAAACCCTAATGTGTTGGATTAAATTTGGTTTATAAAGATTAAATAAACGATTCGGATTGGCTGGGTGGTACACATGGACGGCTCCGATTCTGTGAGAAAAATCATGTATCCTGACCGTTGGATTAACCATTTTTTCTTTTTTTTTTTAGTATGTTTATTTAAATCAAAATAAAGTTTTTTTTTTTATGAAATTAGGGCAAGCCATGCCAAATGTCGTACTCTACATGTATGAATTTTTATTTACTTTTTCGTTCTATCACACATATTGTATAGTTGAATTTTCATTAGATTATTTAAAATCATATTAAAATATTAGTTAAAATAATTTTGGATAAATATCTATTGGTATAATTTTATGTTGTGAAATTATTTTTAGATATAAAATTAATTTTGAGTTTAAATAATTTTAACTGATTTTTGTGTTGGATAAAAAATTATATTTCATTTTTTCACTATTAATTTGCTTTAAATTAAAAATATTTAAATATAAATCACTTTACTTCAAAATCAATTTTAATTACAAATAACTTTATAAATTTTTTATTCCAATTTTTATAAACACTCACCGAATGGCTGCACTCTGAATTATAAAAAAAAAATGTCACTAAAAATAGTAAATGGAGCCTAATCACTGAAAATAAGTGAAAATATATTCTTACAGTCCAAGTGATAAAAAGGGTTACTTTGAAATATTCATGAAATCTTACAATAAGGTGAGAATCAAGTTCAAGTCTTGACTCTACAAAATCAGCTGAAAGTCCACATTTATGAAGTTTATGAAATCTTTGTTAGCTTTATGGTTTTACAGTAAAATTTCCACATTCATATTATAACATCAGAGAAACAAACAACTGCAGATAGATGTCTAAGTGTACTATAACTCATAAAATTACTCATTAAATTTATATTGTTAGCTAAGCTAATCAGCGATCCATTATCTAATTAATAACAATATATATAATAAAAGATAGTTTGTGATTGGTTCTAAAAGGATAGTCTAAAATCAAAATCTTCATCTTTGTGTGTTCCTAAAGTGCCATAATTCATCCATGCTCCATGCGCTACGTGCAAATTCCTTGTTTGGCCAACTGGTTTGTGATATTCGGCAATCAATCATTGGGAGTTTCAGATCCTCAGCAACCATTGTGGTTGTGGTTGTCAAGTCGAAGGCATCCATGCCATATTCATTATTGTTATTTATGCAATAACCATCATGTGAAAAGATGCCAAAGTCAGAACTATCCAAGGCCTGAAATTGACTAGTAGTGTATTCCAAAGGCTGATCCATATTTAGGATATTCACTGATTCTGAAGAGGAAATGCTTGAACCATTGTTGTGTTCAGAGTCTGAGTACAAACAATTGGGGCCTCCTTCATTCACACAAGTTCCCTGGCAAGTGATTTGTGTTGTTGGTGTTGTTCCAATCTCAAATGAGGAATAGTGACAACCACCCTCAAAAGGCAAGGGTATTGCTTGGTCTTGGATTGACATGGCTGAAGAAGATGATTCTTGTGCTTTATGAAGATATCTTGTCATCTTTAGACCCTTGACAAATTCTACAAATTCTGTTCTATCTGTGTCAAATTTCATATATCTTGATTGTTTTTGAATCCTTGTTCTCCAATAGTTCTTGATTTCGTTATCTGTTCTGCCAGGCAGCTGTTGTGCAATTTTTGACCACCTGCATACAACAATCACAAAGAGGCAATAATTATCCAAAGGAACGATGTTATGTTATTATTCTAGAATTGACTAGAAATTGATAGTGGCCAGGTTTCTTTCTTTCCCAAGAATCAAAATCTAATGAATTAGCATACTTTTACCAAAAGTCTGTTTGAATATAAATTATAAGTACTTTTAAGAGTTTTCTATCAAAAAGTTTCTTATTTTCGATAGAGAAACTCTAAAAAAAATTATAATTTCTTATATCCAAACAAGTGTTAAGACAAGTAATTATTATCAGATATGCACCTGTTGCCCCACTTTGAGTGGAGTTCAAAAATCAAAAGCTGCTCTTCTTTGGTTAAATTTCCTCTCTTAACATCTGGCTTTAGATAATTTAGCCACCTTAATCTGCAACTCTTTCCTGATCTCCTTAATCCTTCAGATAATTTAGCCATCACATAAGATAAAGCAAATAATCAGAATTAGCATAAAAAAATGGTTTAAAAATAATATAAAATTACCAAATATTGTATCACCAACAAGATTTTTTTTTTGTTTTAGCTATTCTTGGATTACCTGAATATATAGCAAGCAAATTCCATCTCCCCTCCCCGTGATTGGCAATGTAATTAATGAGAAGATCATCCTCTTCAACACTCCATGGCCCTCTTCTAAGTTCATTATCATCTTCACATGAATAGATGATGCTCTTTGGAGAAGTAGACATGTCTAGTCTCATTGATCAAATCTCAAAACACCATGCATATATATGCAGAAGCGACTTACAATTTATAATGAGTATGAAAATTTGCCTACGCAAGATAAATAATAATAAGTACAAATGGTTTGAATAGCTCCTAACAGTGCAACATTTTTTTGGGAGATTTTTGTCAACGTGAACAATATGAACTCTGTTGCTTTTTCTAAAGACAGAAAAAAGCCTACTGCTGTTATAAATTCCATATCATGGCCTCCATTTACTTTTCATGGTCTCTGACCCATGAAACAATAAAAGGTGGATAGGTTCATTGCTTAGCATCTTACCTCGTTTCTAGAAGAATAAAACACTAGAGTTTATTAATATATAGTCATTAGTCACATTATTCGATCACAGGAGCCAAAGGTTATAAGCCAAGATCTGGAACTTGTCTAAGTTATTTATGTCAAAGAACAAATTCACTTGAATTGTACTCCATATTAATATTTTAATCACTTTATACATTGATATGCTGCTTATTGCACCAAGGGACAAGGAGTATGATCCCTTTATTAAGGTTCGTGATTCGAGTCTTAATAAAAATAAGGGTTAAGGAATAGTCTTCTGTAAATCAGTCTGCAGTTCAAAGTGACATCCAAATATAGATATTAAAGGGATCTTAAACCAATGTAATATTTTTATAAGAGCAGCAAGGTTAGGAAATGCAACAATTATATAATCTCCTTTTAGTTATTAAATGACATCATCAAATTAATTAAAATATATAAATAGAAAACAATCTTCACATCATAAATTGATTTTATAATATTAAATTATGTTTAAACTTATATAAATACTTTAAATTAATATTATAATTTATTCTAATAATTATTAATTGTTATTGATCATTTATTATCGAATTGTTATCGGATTGTTCACAGATGTCAAGTCCATTCTAAAATTGTACATGATGGTGTTGTTGCATTCCAAAACCAACCAAACAATGAGTGAGACTTAAAACAAAATTTGAAAGAGATATTTATACTTTTAATAAGATAGTTGTATTTGAATTTATTTATTAATATAATAGTGGTGTTGTTGTCGTGAGTCAATTTAACAATGAGTGAGACCTAAAACAAAATTTGAAAAAGATTTTTATATTTTTAATGAGAGGGATGTATATAGAGTTTTTTCTTTTTTTTTTACTAATATATGTGGATTTTATACTTTATAAAAACTAATGACAAATAATTTTTTGCTGTTGGATCTAAAATTTAAGTTTTAGTAGTTTTTATTCCTGAATTTACACTTTGTTGCAATGGTTTTATGTGTTTGTAACTTTGCAAGTATCAACTTAATCGTTAAGAATTCATTTTTAAGTGATTTTATGCATTTGTAAGGATGGAGTGTTTGTTTGTTTGTTTTAAGGGTTGTGTATCGAGTTAACACAGGTGTGAAAGCAAATAAACTAGTGAATTATCTACTACAATAATGTGATTATGACCATTATAACAAAAGATTTGCATTATTGCAGAAAACAAAACTCGTCTCAAAAGTAAGCGCAGTCTTTATATGTGTAATGAGTGTAATTTTCATCAATTAAGTATAAAATAGATTTTTGCACTATCATTTAATTATGACAAAAATCTATAATTTTTCTATATAATAATACATAATTAAATAATAGTGCAAAACATTTTTATTCGATCCATATAATCATTCTAGGTTCAAATTATATTGCTTTCATTGTAATTCCGTTGATAAAAAAAGAAAGGTTTTTATTCATGGGATTAAAAAAATTATTTCTTACAAATTCTTAATGCTATTTCTTAAAAATTGTATGTTACAAATTATTTCCATACAAATTTTATTTTATTTTTTTGCTATACCTTAAAAACGAAAAGTTTCCAACTTCGCCAAAAACTTTCTTCTTCAAAAAGGGTGATGTTTTTTTATGTGGCATGGCCAAATGGCAAGATTGTTTCATGGAATATTTACAAGCAGAAGTTTGTATGAAAAGAAAAGATGGTTGATTTTTTTCATTTTAAATTGAAAGAGTTATAAAATATTTTTAAAAAAAATGACTGAGAAATTATTGAAAACTTTTAGAATTTTCTATGGCGTGAACGACCACATGCATCATCAAAATCAAAATTGTAGAAAGTTATACGCGGTTTTATTAATGCGCAGTTATTCATGTAGAAGACTTTCGTTAAGCGTGTTAAAGTTGTAAAAAAAGAAAACAATGAACATGGAAGTAGAAAATAAGTTAAAAGATAAAAGATGTGATTTGACCATTGTAAGATTAATAAACAGCATTACAACATTGAAGACCTAATTAGAAAAACCGTAATTATAAATGATTAAAAAAATTGACTAGTTTTTTTCAATCTTTAAATTTGAGTGGTTATAAATGATAAATTAATCCCCTTCTTTTTGCAAAATATTAAATTAAATATTTATATTATTTAGGTTTAATTCCATTTTTATTTCTCTAAATATTACACCTTTGCTATTTTGATCCATAGAGTTCTAATGGATGAATTTTAATTTTTTAAGTATCTCAATTATAAAATTTCAGTTTTTCAAATATCGTAATTACACAGATTTTTACTTATCTAAATTACATATATTAATAATTTTAGTAATAATAAATATATATCATTTAATATATGAATTAAAATCATGATATATGTAAATTAAATAGACAAAAAATTGTATAATTATAATACTTAAGGGATTAAAATTACATAATTACAATGTACTTGATAAACTTAAATTGTTTAATTAAATAGGTATAAATTTTTATAAATGCAGAACTTGAAAGACTACATAATTGCAATACTTGAGCACTAAAATTGCTTACTAAAAATTGAGGGACCCAAATTACACAATAACAATATTTGAGGGATTATAATTGGTTAATTAATATTTGAAAGACTAAAATCGCACATTTGTTATAGTTCAAGAACCAAAAACTCATTTTAAGTCTCAAGGTTAAAATATATTTTTTAATTTCTATAATTTCACTTACTTTACCTTTTAATCTCTATAGTTTAAAATTGACTTTTTTAATTTTTATACTTATTTTTATTAATCATTTTTAGTCCTTATAATTTAAGATAAATCTTTTTAGTCCTTATACTTATAATTTTTTAATCTTTAGTCCTTGGCATTAATTTTTTTTTTTAACTTTGTTTCTTTCATGTTGACATAACATATGTATTAATTCCAAATTTATGTGTATTTGATATTGATTTTTTTTGTTAAAGTTACTCTAACTTAGGTGTCTCAATATTCTTTCTCTTATTTCTACCATCACCTACGACGCCTATTATTGAAATGTTATTCTTTTTCTTTTTTTACGCTCATAAAGTTAAAGACTTCTATCACATTAACACAAAATAAATAATGTTACAAAAAAATTGACAATAAAGACTAAAAAGATATATATATATAT